TAACGATCATGACGAAGGGGAATCTATAGCTAATGAAATGTGAATAGCGCGGGAAAAGAATGCCCTCATAAGTGGGGGCTTATTTTGTAACTTCTATCGACTAGTATGAGGGGGAAAAGTTGCCATTATTGTTGATCCGCCACATTTAATTAACGGTACCTATTTCTGATAAAATATAAATATTAATGATGTATGATTCGAATTGAAGAAATCCTAAAATAAAATTACTGTTGCGGAAGACAATTCCATTAGAACAGCGATTCCTGACTTCTCGCTTTTTTTATCTTCATAAAAAAGTAAAATCGGTGAGCGTGTCGAGTTGTATTATTATTATTATTATTATTATTATTATTATTATTATTATTATTATTATTATTATTATTTGTTTTGAATTATCGTATTTGGCTCTCAAATAACAACGGGCTTTTTCTTGAAGTATAAGATTTCCCATTAATTTCTTTGGTCAACTGATTGTAGAAAGGTTCGAACGATGCGGCAAGGATTCAGGGTAATAGACTTCTGTTCAGGATAAAGTGTCTTGAAGGAATATCAATTTTCCTAACGTTTTCTCTGTCGTGTCTTTCGTGGAGACCGGTGCTGGAGATCATGTTCAGGAGAATGAGGAAAATAAATAAATGGTCCTGTTTTCATTGATCTTTAATTTGACATTTCAAATCGCTGTACTTCCTTTTTTTTCACTGAATGACTTTTGCATTTGCCTGGTGCAAGGGATAGGAAAATCAAAAAGTAACAAGATTTTTTTGTTTCCGTGAAAGTTATTACAAGATGTGGTCTATTATGCTCTACAATTTTAAGTGTCAAAATTGTGCAATACAAATAAATTCTGACCTTTTCATTTCGCCACACAGATTCACTTTCTGTGTTTGTAAGGAGCAAATTCTATCTTACGTTGCAACAAGCTTCCAGGGAATGTGTGTTACTGCAATACTTTTCACAAAACACGAGATGTTTTGTTCACATGTGTTGTGTTTCCCGGTCTTTTGAATGACATGGGAGTTTGGATACGTTCTTACGAAGATTTCGTGGAATAAATCCCAGAAGTCCTATTGCTATCGCAATGACCTGTAGTTTCTTCCTCCCAGTTTCACCCGATGTCGATTTCCAAATGCTTCTAGGGAAGTTTCTGCCTCCTTGGTTGCGAGGTTGTGATCGCATTGCACTGCAACATCAAGTAGTAGATTCCAAAGACTTTTTTCTCCGTATCCCGAATAACAATGTTCAGTTTGTTTGCTGTCGCACGATCGGCTTGGATTTGTTGGTCGTATCGATCACAGTCTATAACGGACGCCACGTTTCGGTGAGTGTACGTATCACTTGGTGCGTTGTGTTTTGGAACTTCTGCTAGTGGAGGAACGTAACTACAAACTCTATCGTGCCTTTTCAGGTATGTGCTAGAAATGGACGAGCGAAGATGATGTGATCAGTTTATTATTATAGTAATATAATTATTATTACAATGAATTTTGTACATGATGGAGGTAGGACCACAGAAGTAGGTACTTCAGTGATTAAGAATCCATATCTAGACTTGACATCATTACAAATCGGCTTCCAACAACAGCGGCATGTTCATATTTTTTAATGTTTTAACTTCAAACCCATTTCACGATGTTGCCTCATAGAAAGAATGTTACGTATATGGATTGTTAGTTTATTATTATTATTATTATTATTATTATTATTATATCTTCCAAGAATACTTTTATAAATCTGTTGCTATATTTGCCGACATAAATGCAAATTACCTTAGAAAACAAGCAATTTGTGTATCTGTTCTCGTAGTTTTTACATACCGGTTGGGTTCACGAAAAAGGAGAGTTTTGTATTTAATTATATCGTATTGCATATACACATAATGAAGTAGTTAATTTTTTAATCGAATGTTCAATGTCTCCGTCTTACGTCTTTTGTTGTGATTAAATGTTGAAGCACGTTTCTTTCTTATGGGACTTCATTTCTTCTGATAAAAAAAAATATGATGAAACACATTGAGCGCAGTTAAACGAGTAATTGTATTTACCGTAGACATTAATTGTATATCGTTGTTCTGAAAACGTTGCGCGTGAGTATTTGAGCGCCGAGTGTTTGGAACGCAGGTCCCAAGTGGCCCGCGCGAGCGAGACGCCGTGCGCTGGGTGCGGGCGGCCCCGGGCCCCCCTCGACGGGACTCACTGCTTGGGACCCGACCGGATGGTTACGAACTTACATACACTTACTAAAGTCAAATCCAGAACGATGATACCAGTCAAGGTTTTTAAAAATATGTGTTTCAGAGGCGTTTCAACCTCATTTGTGAGGTCCTCTTCAGTTTCTGAAACGGTAATATTACAAACTAATAAACAAAGAATAAGTTTTTTACAGTCGAATTGACATCTGTATGATTCACAAATTATTAAAACTGTGTTAAACATGAGTAAGATAGAGACGGTTACTTCAAAGGTAACCCGCCTCTATTTTACTTAAAATATTGGTTTGTATTATTACAGTTCCAGAAACTGACGAGGTCACAAATGAGAATGCAACGTCTTTGAAATACATTTTTCTTTAAACCTTTGATGGGACAATCGTTTTGAATTTGAATGTTTTTGTTTTTAAGTGATCCTGGAAGCACTTACTACAATTAGATTCAGTCACATCAAAGGGTTGAGTTGCGTGCTAACATTTTTTTTTTCTCTTGCGTCTTTTCTCTTCGTCTTATTCTTGTAGTCTCTTTGCATTTTGGGGTGCCCAATAGTCCCCTATACGTAAGAACTTCAATCATAATGCTGTTAATCTGCTTTCTATTTTAGTATTACTTGGTAAGCTTTCCGTTCCATTTATAAAACTTGATAGATATACAGAATTGTATATTTGTAATTTATTTTTTATGCTAACTTTCATGCGGAAGAAAGTTTATTTATTTGATTGAAATCGGAGTTTGCCTTCTTGATTCTGTTGTCTTGTCATACTTTCCATACTGTGTATAAGTTGGCGTTTATTACAATGTATATGATGAATAATAATAATCTAATATGACAGCAGTAAACAAGCGACAATAATTGTTTATTGACAGTATTTCTATAACGGAAGAACAATGCAAGTGTCATAGATTCTGTTTGTCATGTAAGAATTCAATGAGTTATAATACGTTCTTAAATATGTTTTTTTAGAAAAATATATGTGAACAAATAGCGTATACATCTCAGGAATAAAAGTCATTGTTCCTTCGAAGGAATTGTAGCCCTCGAGCTTCAGAGCTAAAGAAAACCCGTGCATTTCTTTCTCTTGCTGTGAAATCTGCTTTTATTTACGACGACGCTGTAACGCTGGAGTACCGCATTCAAATTGTTCTTGTAAGAAACTTCATTAAGGCCAGAGCAAAATGGATTTAATTCAGCTGCAGTTGCTTCATTAGTCTATTTAACACTCATTTTCATTCTTGATAGAAAAGTGTTGTTTGAAGAAGAAATGAAAATAGTAATATTCCTGTTGTTTGAAAGTTGTTCACCTAGATTCGATAAAAAATTCGGTCATTGTCATCAAAATACAATAAATGTTTATTACGTTCATTTAATGTCATAAAACAATTAAAAATTGTGTGGGGGAGGCGAAGAATATGGGAGGGAGAAGTAGAAACCACGTTTCCGTGCAAATCTCGATCGGATTGTAGCCCACACTCCGTTATCCATTGAGAAAATTGTCTATTGTAGGCTTCAATAGTAATTAAGCGCTTGTCACACACCCCCTCGGCTAATGTAAAATGTTTCTTGTATTGTTTTGACAAATAAGCAAATGTATAATGTTCCCTTTCTTCTACTTGCAGCAATGTTCAAGAATAAATATATTTGGCTATTTTAATGTAGCTAGAATGTTTACCGACAACTCGTCTATTTCTGATGAAATACTATCCGTGTGTGATCGGACACTTAAAAATTCAAAAGTGTAATAAACGTGCAGCTTTTCCCGATATTTACCATATAAAAACAAATAATTTCACAAAACAATCCAGTCCGTACGTTATTGACGTCGAAGTAGATAATAATTATGCAGTAAATTTGATCATAAAAATGGAATTAATAAATTTGTAATCGGCATAAATATAGTTTGTAATAATGTAAGCTTGATATGATATAATGAAACTCATTTTCTTATAATACAGCTATTACATTCGAAAGAGAACGATATTACTTTTTGAAACTCTCGTACGTAAATACACGTATGTTTCAATGAATCCAGTGCTGTAAACCCCCCTGGTTGTCAATGGTCGATGTCGATCGAGATATCGGTAGTCCGTTATGCCACCTCCCCACCCCATCACGCAAAGACTAGACCCCTCTTCTGAAGCCTTGCGTGTCGGCGTACCACAAGGGAGCGACGTATTATAAATTAAATATTATACATTCATTAATAAATTTAAAATTGTCGACCGGGATGTGCGTCAATACAGCTCTCTAACACGTAATAGTTTGCTATTTAATAATTGTAATGCTGATCCTAAGTAGCGACATCCAGAAGCCTTTCATTAGACCCTGGAGATTGAGGATAAAATATGGAAGGTTCGCCTGGTCGGTCAGATCGGGGAAATTTTTATGAGCCGAATTTAAAGGAGTATACATAGCGCTTAATAGCTGTCATTAGAGGATCGGACAGATAATTTATAGCTCTTACGCGCAGGTAGGCAGTGATTATGTAAATGTTTATTATGGGGTAAAGGAAATCCGTCGCGCGGTTTGATGCTATTGAAAAGTGACGTGTGTAAGACACAGGCGACCTGCGGCGTTCTCCACAACGATTCGTAAAACGAACCTAAACTGATTAACGGGTTTTGATACCTTTTTGGGGACATGGTTCCGCGAGAAACAAATCATGAAAATCTAAAAATGTATTTCAGATTTACAGTGTTTTGAAGTTGACTTAAAATATTTAATTGACGTTCTCCGTTAAGAATTATTAGAAAGGGTATGACGCCCAGCCCCCCATTCTTGATATTCTGGTTCGTCACTATTTATATTCGAATTTTTAATTTTTTTCTACTCCAGAACGATCAGCATTGTTCTTTTCCTGGTTTTGGAATAAATGAGTTTCTCATAATTTGTGACCGTGGCCCAGTTACATTCCTTTCATTAATATATTTTACCCTAATATTTTGGGTAGATCTCAACGATTACAAATGAAAATACAGGCACGATACTTGTCTCTGAACTTATTTTTAATGCAAAGAAAACTAGGAAATGAAGTAGTAAAAAGAA